GGGATGGGATGGGATGGGATGAGGCGGGATGGGATGCGTTAGGGTTAGGGCAGTGACAGGGACAGGGCCAGCCCTGATCTGAGTGTCCCTTGCCCTGATCTGGGTGTCCCTTGCAGAGGGTGCCAGGGCCAGTCCTGATCTGGGTGTCCCTTGCAGAGGGTGACAGCGGCGCCGTGGTGGTGCAGACGGCCCCGGGGAAGGTGGTGACGCACCGGGGCGGCACCATCATCCTGCCCTGCCGCTACCACTACGACGTGTCCGCCCACGACCCGGCCGAGATCCGCCTCAAGTGGACCAAAGTGACGGAGCCCATGGCGTTCGTGGACGTGTTCGTGGCGCTGGGCAAGGCCCGGCGGGCGTTCGGGCCCTACCGCGGGCGCACGGCCCTGCAGGAGGACGGCGCGGGCGACGCCTCCCTCATCATCCGCAACGTCACCCTGCAGGACTACGGGCGCTACGAGTGCGAGGTCACCAACGAGCTCGAGGACGACACCGGCGTGGTCAAGCTGGACCTCGAAGGTACCGCTGGCGGGGGGGAGGTGAGAGAAGGGCAGGAGGGCACTCTGGAATGCAGGAGGAGAAATTATCCGGGTTATCCAAATTATCCCCCCTCCCCCTGGTGTGCCCCGTGGGACAGTTGGGATGTGGTTCCCTGTGCCCCATGGGATGGTTGGGATGTGGTTCCCTGTGCCCCGTGGGACAGTTGGGATGTGGTTCCCTGTGCCTCGTTCTCTCCCCAGGCCCGGCTGCTGTTCCCGGTGTGTGCCGTGGTTTTATTGCTACCGTGATTGGCTTTTACTGTTGCTCCAGGTTTACGGGGTGGCAGCTCATAAACCCTGCTGATGAACGGTGGCACGGGCTCGTAAAGCACCCGTGGATGGGGCTGAGGGGCTGGTTTGGCTCCGAGCCCACCCTTGGGAAAGAGGGAAAACCTTCTTTTCGGGGGCTACTTCGGAGTGCCACGGCCTGGCCGGACCCCATGTGGGCTCCGCTGGTATCCCGTTTTCCCTGGAGCCTGGGGGCAGAACGGGGATCCCTAAAGTCACAGTGTGGAGGATTTGGGGGCTCTCAATCCCCCCCAGGGCACAGACAGGGGTAGCTCATCGTGGCCGGACTCTGCAGCCGCACATCCCAACCCGCAGCCACCCCCAAGCTGCCCATGCCTGTGCCAGCCCTGTTTGTTGGGTGCAGCTGCAGATTCGGGCAGGGGGGAGAACCCTCCTCCCACCCCAAAAATCCCTCCTCCCCAGGCGTCATCTTCCCCTACCACCCGCGCCTGGGCCGCTACACCCTGAACTTCCACGAGGCGCAGCAGGCGTGCCTGGAGCAGGACGGGATCCTGGCGTCCCACGACCAGCTGCACCAGGCCTGGCTGGAGGGCATGGACTGGTGCAACGCGGGCTGGCTGGAGGACGGCTCGGT